ACATAATATATCTGGTAACATAGCCCTGGACACAAAATTCTCCAAGTCAATGTCCTCCAGTGAATCAACTGCTGCCATGTATATGAAGATAATATTCTCATTATTGTGGCGTATCAGGTCTGTTTTGATAAAAACTTCTGCCTTTCTTGGCATGTTTATGAGTGAAACTATGTTTATGAGTGAAAGTTAACTATCTGTGGGACTTAGCTTTTGCAAAAGGGAGTTTCCCTGCCTCGAATATCTGCCCTGCTCTTTGTTGGATTAGAGGGTGCTCAGGACCACTGAAAATCACAAAAGAGTGAAACCTTCATGTCTTTCTCCAACATGCTTCTCTGGGCATTGAGACATTATCTTCTTGGTTGCAGCAGACATTTCTTGTATTACATTTTTAAAATTTTCTTTTTCCTATTATGTTGTGAATCTTTCACAGGCAAATATTTTACTTTACTCACTTGTATCCTCAGCCATCTATTTTAAGTGAATCTTGTAAAATAAATAGTAATTGAGCATTAATTTTCTTCTTTCATAGTTTTGCAAAGGACTTTCTTAATAAAGAAATTTTTATTGTTATTCTGTGCTGCATTTCCCAGCAAAAAGTAATTTTTCATTAATTAAACACTTCTTGAAATTATTTATATGTGCATTTTGGGTATCCTTTGGGGGCCATTTATTTTTTCTGTGAATAATTTTAAAAATTCAGAGATGTACACAGAAGAGAAAGATTAACAATGACCACCCCAATCATATCACAAGATTTTGTCAAAATTTATTAGGATTGATTTTAAAAGAAGAAAATATTAAGAATACATTAAGTATTCTTCAGTACATGTCTGCAGGCTATTCCGTGTCCTCTTTCACAATGCTGAATTTGATTATTTCTCCTAAGGATTATACATTCTTCTATATATGCCACATGCATTACTTATTTCTCCTAAAGTACCTGTTATCAACCTTCTTGTATTTTTCCTCTGGAGAAATCTATATAGAACATCCTCTTACTTTTGCATATTACTATAGGTATTTCTCATGTCAAATATTTAGCTGATAAACAATTATTTTGAGGTAACTAATGGTGGATATTTGAGGTGCTAGGAGCTCTTTAACTGTTCAGACTTCAGTTTTGGTTTGCAGTGAATCAGTGCAGTGAATTCCAGTGAATTTGTTACTTCACTGGAAGCCTGTTAGACTCTCAATCTGTATTTGTCAATTGGAAGTTTGTGCTCTACTTTCACAAACGATAGGTATCTTTTCCTTATAACTAGCGATAGCTATGCATGACCATTTTTAATGCTGATGAAATATTTTGGGAAAAGGTTGATGCTCTACATTACTAAAATGAAAAATAATTTGTTCAAACATACAGCACCTAACACGCAATAGACATTGTAGTAAGCACTTGTGACATAATAGTGAAAAGAAATGGTGCAGTCCCTGTTCTTTGTGGAGCTTACATCCTAGTCATGGAGACAGACCAAATATAAAACAAAAAGTAAGGAGAATATATTAAGGCATTAAATTAATGGCAAAGTTGAATGGTCTCATAAAAAGCGTCAGACAGCAAAAATAAGAGAAGAGGGATTACATTACATAGGGGGAATATGAACTCTTGCTCCGAAGAGAGAACATTTAAATTGAGACTTAAATGCAGAGAAACAATTAACCAAAGAGAAAATGAGAGACAATAGCCATTTTAAAGGCTCTGAGTCAGGACAGATCTTGGTGTGTCAACTAAAAGCGATCAGGGCCAGGTGCTATGGCTCATGCCTGTAATCCCAGCTCTTTGGGAGGCTGACGCGGGTGGATCACCTGCGGTCAGGAGTTCAAGAACAGCCTGGCCAACATGGTGAAACCTTGTCTTTACTAAAAATACAAAAACTAGCTGGGCATGGTGGTGAGCACCTGTAATTCCAGCTACTTAGGAGGCTGAGGCAGGAGAATCACTTGAACCCAGGAGGCAGAGGTTGCAGTGAGCCAAGATCGCAACACTGCGCTCTGGCCTGTGGAGCAAGAGTGAAACTTCATCTAAAACCAAAAAAAAAACAAAAATGAAAGAATGATCAGGACTGAAGAGTGAATCATGGTAGCTAAGATTCACAGAGACTCAGGTTGCCACAGATTATAAATTCACTTGTTTCCTCTTTAACATACATCTCTTCAGTGGATCAGAATATTGTAACAGGCATTAATAGCACAACTCCACCTTGTTCGAAAAACAAACATAATTGGAAGATACTATAAAATGCCTTCACAAATCAGAGTCACAAGATTACAATATCCTGTATTCTACTGGAAATAGCCTACATTCAAATAATCTCTCTAGCCACCCCTCCCCTCCATTTCTTTCTTTTCCCTTTTCCTTTGTTCACTTCCCTTTCCTTCTCTAAGGAAAAGCAAAATTATAACCACAGATTGAGTTTTGATCATGGAATTCTAGAAGATTGTGTTAGATGTGTCAAATATCTATACTCATTGCACTAAAATAGTTTATTAGCACATGTTGGTTGTTTACAGCTTTGTGCATCATCCATATTGAAATCCTAAAACAAAACAAAACAAAACAAACAAAATAATTCCTAGGCCTAGACATTATTGGATGTTCCCTGTCAGTGTTTGGCTTGCTGATTATCCTTTTTCTTAACATCCACAGCAGGAGAATATCTTCTCAATGCATACATTATTTAGCTATGTTTATGACATCAGTAATCCATGAAACCATTTTTTTTTTTAAAAATAACTTTTCATATCTATGTTCTGAGTCTTAGGCATTTCTTTTACTACCTAGAACTTTGACGCTAACCTTATTTTTCATATCAGTTCTTAAGATGCCTCCCTATAGCCACTAGGCACTGATGATACTCCCTTACCCTTTACTTGCCATTTGGCAGGTAAGAAATGTTATTTATATCTGTAGCATCAATACCTTCACACATTTTTGTCATTTCTTGGACTCTAACTTTACTACCTAAACTAAGGAGAATCATTTCACCTTCTTCTCTTAGGCTGAAAGCTACCTTCACAATTTAATTTCTCTTCTCTGGACATTTTAGATCAACAGCTATAACAAAGTTTTATTCAATTACTAATTGATTAAATGTAATTGTATAATTAATTTCGTGTGTCAACTAAGAGTGATCCATACATATAGTATTGTGTATGGAGAAGATACACTGATTTACACTCTATAAATTGAATCTTCACCATCAGGAGATAACATCTGAAATATTTAGTTGAGACATCAAATTTAGGATTATATCAAACAAGAAAAAAAGGGAAAAAGCATTGGATCTTATCTCTACAATTGCTTTCTAATAGTGTATATAATTCAGTTCCAGAACCACCTACATAATTTGTGATGCCCAGTCCAAAACGAAAACACAAGGCCATTTGTTTAAAAAATAATTAAGATTTTTAAAGAAAGCACAAATAGAACATTAAATTAAGCATGGGAGTCTTCTCAATTCAGAGTCCTATGGGACTTTGTATACTCAGAAAGCTGCTCCTGTGCAGATGTTTGGGGTAGGTGGTATCTGAAAATAAGTTTATAAATTTATTTCTTTTTCAAATGCACTTTATAATAGAATTTCAAAAATACAATTTTAGTGATAAAATAGTATATACAACAAAGCTTAGTGAACATATTTCTTTGGAACACTATAACTATGCCTTTGGCACAGAGTATTCTGGTGAACAGAAATGTGTTTAACAAGAAACTACTGTTTGTTTTAAGTTTATCATTGACTATGGTATAATGACTTGATTTAGCCTGAGTACTCAGAAACGAGATTGCTTGGGTTGTAAATCTTTGCTCTATCTACTCTACTAGCTGTGGGTCTTTGGCAAATTTGCTTACCTTTCTTTGAATCATTGTACACATGCAAAGGAATAATAGAGAATCTACAACATAGGTTTGACATGCAGATTCTGATATTTCACGTGCTTTAAAGAGTACCTGGTATGTAGTAAGCATTCAGAATCTACCCTGTTTAATCAAAATCCTTTCTAGTTTTTATTTCTTGCCTTAATGAAAACAATATCCCAGACATACTTTACTCTCTTTAATGGTTGTTAATTAATGTCTAGTATAATATGAAAAATATTTCATGTTGTTGTTTGTGTAGAATTACAAATCTGTCAGCTAATGGATAAGACATTTAGCTCATGTTGATAAAAATTAATGATGTGTTTCTTTCTATTAAAAGAGTAGTGAAAAGATTTTTGTGTTTAGATCTTATCTTTGACCCTCTTCCCCATCACCATTTGGCTTATTTAAAATAAAGGATGTAAATCATCTGGCTAATAGAGCACTCCAGTTAATTGTATTACAGTTATTATGTTACATAATTTTAGAATCCAATTTAGTTCAGTCATAGCATTTCATGCATTCTTAAATACATTTAAAAGTAAGCTTGTTTGAAAGTAATCCATTGTAGTTAATTGAAGTTATTTTATTTTACTTTTATGTCACTGAATGATAAAACTTTTCATATTAATTAGAATTATGTTTATTTGTAATTACCAAGCTGTTTTTTGTGTATGGAGAAGATACACTGATTTACACTCTATAAATTGAATCTTTACTATCAGGAAATAACATCTGAAATATTTAGTTGAGACATCAAATTTAGGATTATATCAAAAAACAACCACACTTTATTTTTAGTACTGGTAACACATTTATTGTAAGCTAATTTGCTTAAGATATTTCCTAAGAAAGTATTCATTTTGAGCAATATAGTCTTAAAATGAGGATGCTCTAATCAGGTATGGTTTCCAAGTAAGAATATCATAATCCTTCCATGCATTTTGCATTTCGGATGGTGAAAACCTATGAAGTAACTGAGCATTATAGTCATTATGGTTGCAAAAGTGGACAAGAAAGTAAAACTCAGTACTCCTGAATTTATGACAACACTTCCAAACCATACCATGTACTCAAACCCTTCTCTCGCCTGTGACTCTTATTATATAATATCTATATTCAATCTCTTTTCTCATATCAGACAGTATTACTGAAGTCTTCACTAACATCTACGTGACCAGTTTTGGCCCTGTCTCAGATACAGATATGGTGAGTTTTTTCATTAAATAGTATCTTTACTTCACATAATGGGAAATGGGGGGTAATTTAGAATAAACTGGCATTTTTAGTGTTATAGCATTATGTATATGTCTCATGTCTATTTAGTCTACCCAAATACATAGAGAGTTAAAGATGTTTGGATTTGTGTTTTTCACTTCCAGCTTGAGTGTTTGGATTAGCCCTTTATGTTTTATATTATTTTTACAACATGTCTACCTAGCTACAGTGTAATAAATAATTATTTAAATAAAATTAATTGTATTACAGAGAAAAATTTTCTAGAAAGACTAAGGCAGCAGTGTGGACTTGCATAAGGAAAGAGAATATAGTTTCATAGATAAATTCTTCTTATAGAATGAGGTCATAGTCAGTGTTACATATTTAAAAAACAAATTTCTGATTGGTATTAAGCAAACTGGTTGCCTTGTTATGCTGTCTACATACATACATACAATACATATATGCACACATAGTAGGTATATAAAAATCAACCCAAAAAATTAGAATGTTGGTACTCTTGGATTCTATGGAACTGGTGTTATTTACTTTTTCTTTAAAATGAGACAGGCCTGGTGTGGTGGCTCACGACTGTAATTGCAGCACTTTGGAAGTTCTAGGTCGGAGGACTGCTTGACCCCGGGAGTTTGAGATAAGCTTGAGCAACATAGTGAAACCCCGTATTTACAAAATAAAAATATATGAAAATTAGCAGGGTATGAAGGCACAAGCCTTTTATCAGAAGGCTGAGGTGGGAGGATTGCCAGAGTCCAGGAGATTGAAGTTGCAGTGAGCCGTGATCATGATCATGCCATTGCACTCCAGCCTGTGTGACAGAGTGATACCCTGTCTCCAATCAATCAATCAATCAATTAAAATAAAATAAAATGAGTTAGGTAGGTGAGGAAAATTGGTTTGATGTGTTAGGTACTGGTGGGTTAGAATCACCAAAGATGAATTATTGATGAAGCATAAAAATTTGATACTCAGCCCTCCACCTTTACTGCTAACTATAGGGCTCTGTAATAGAAATTTTTGATGATATAGTTTTTCATTCATTAATACCTTGTCAGATTCTACCACGTCTCTCAACTGACATTTGGTTCACTTTACATTTCCTTGATGTGCATGTCTCTTGTCCCCTGCTACTTCCCTGCCAAATCACCCCTCAGGCAACTTTCTCTCCAGGACTTCATGGCTCTTTAGAGCTCCATCTTCCTTATGGCCTAGGCACTGAGAATTAAAGAAGTCCTTGTTCCTTTTTGCCCAATTATTCTCCATTATGTCATTTCTACTCAAATTCTTTCTTTTCTCTGATAACTCAGGGGAGAAGTTGACAAGTTTGCACATTTTCTATCTGGATAAACAAACAAAACAAAGCATTTTATTTTTGCAGGCTTTCCTGATCATTATCAGCTAATTTATCAGGAGCTCCCTACATTTTCATTAGGGAACCTACATTCCACTTTTATGATAAAAAATATGCTGTTTATTCCATCAGAGCCACATCTCTGACCTCAGACCTTTTCTTACCTTGACCTGGGTGGCCCAAAACCTAATGGTTGTGGGGATGATCCCCACCTTTGGGGAGGTGGTTGATGCAAACGTTGGCAGACCTTTAAAATTCTTTAAAACAGGAATGTCAAGATTTCAGTGTTTTCATTTTTCTCCTTCAACTCTGTGTCTTAGGCACGATTCTGGAACAGGAGGAAAAAATCATATTCTTCAGCATAACACTCCTTTTCCCTTGTGTTATCTTAAATTTTGACCTGAAATATTAATCTGCCTCTTCCCATGGGTCAATTTAAGTGGACAGATTCTTGTAATGATGGTAGAGACTATTTTTTTTAGCAAGAATGTGTATTCCAAATGTTATTGGTTGCCTATGAATATAATTTTATCCTAGTAAATATTCCTTGCTTTAGTGCAGCTTGTCTTAAATGTTCCCAAATGTTAGAGAGATACAGTGCAAATAAACACCTAACTTCTATCTAAAATCAAATAGAGTCAGAATTTTGTTAAGTACTATGTTGAGAAATTAGCATAATATTATATAAATTATGACTGTTATGTATGGTTACTTTGTGTCTTATTATCAGCCAAAACAGAAAGGCAAATGATATAAGACTCCCAATTATCAATATGTTTTCAGTAGATTTTTTTATATTGTAAATTTCAGTAGTAGCAGTTACTGCATTGAAATTTTAGCTTTAATTTTTTGCAGAATAACTTCACCTAAAACATCTCTTTCTCCATATGTATATGCATACATATATATATGCATATGTACATACATAAGTACAAACACATATATTTCTAGCAAGACATGTTTGGTATTTGGGGATTTTACACAAACTCATGTCATACTTGTAAGCCAAAATGTACAAAGTCATTTGTTTTACAGTAATGATAATGAATTAGATTAATCCTCTACCTCTCCATATTATGACCACTCTTTGGGATTGCTAATATATTTAAAAAGGTGGTAGTTGATGTTAAGTATACAGTCATGAGCAATAGGACACATTAACTACTTTATATCTGAATTGAATAAAAGCAGTCTTGTTTCATCAGTAAATTGAACCTCAGAATGTTAAAATTTTTTAGCAGGCTCAAGATATGCTTTCTTATTTGGGAGGATCCTATCACAAATTATAGAAAACATTAAAATATACTCACACTACCAATATAGGTTGCATTGAGTGGAATTTCAGTTGATAACACTTAAATAAGCAAGACCACTTACTTCGATTTTTCAGTTTTTTAAAATATTTCAGAATACATGGGTGTGTGAGTGTGCGAATGCACACCCACATACAGATACAGTTTCCAAAATGAAATGCATATTCGGCATCTTAGTAGGTTTTGGAAAAACTTGAAGGACCTAGACATTTTCCCTAATGATACATTTCCCTTAATGCATTTAGCCTAAAAAATTTATATGAGATTGCTCTGCCCTTGTCAGATTTTCTATTTTATTTCTGTCTTTACTTACCTTGTTTAGTCAGGGTTACCAGCAGTTGTTTAAGAGGAAGTCTAATTAATCAAAAAACTACCACATGGGAGCATACTATAGAAACACAGTCCAGTCACAGGACAGCACAGGAAAATTCTGATATAAAGAATCATTAACTAATAAAAGACAGTTAAATTCATTTTAAAAACATGGATAAAAGAAAATGCCAAGCAATTCAGAATTAACAAATGCAGACAGAACATCTACTTCTAGGGGTGCGGTGTCACCATTTCCAGAGTCAGGAAGTGACTGAGGACTTGGAAGCACACTCTTTTCCCCTAAGACCAATGAATTCCAACCTCACTGGAGGGGTGCTGCTGCTATAGGAACATGCAGCTAGCTACTGCTGGTGAAGAAACATGTGAGGGTATATGCTGAAGCTGGTCCACAAAAATATGATGCCCGGGCTGAAAACTCATAGCATGTCAATCCTTTGAAGCTGTGCTGAAAAATGACAATGCAGCTGACCCAGAAAGAGACCAAGAAAGGAAACTCCCTTCTCTTGTTATGACATTGGAGTGTCCCTCCAGCACCCTCTATTGACAAAGCCTGACATTGTGTGAACTGGCAGAGGAGCAGTATTTATAGGGTCCATCAGGTATCATAAAGGAAAGAAAAGAAGGGTGGATTTCAAGTTAAGAGGCCGATATACTAATAATGTGTAATACAGGGAGGAGGATGGAGAGTGAGGACCAGGAGATAGTTTGATCAGTCAACAGGTACTGTTGATATTTGTCCAAATCTAGACAAGAAAGATGAACCTGGGAAAAATTGCAGTTGAATAACCTATATACACAGGTAACACAGACACATGCAAACACATGCATTTACTCACATTTTAAGTCTATTTTGGAAGATGGTGTTCAATTGAAAAACATATATACATTTAATAAGGAGAAAGGATTTGGTCTTCATTATGACTGAAAGAAATGGTTTCCATCTTGATATTATTTTTACTGGAAATCAAGGTAGGTAATGAGGCAAAGTTTGAATTTATGTTTAGTGTGGATGGCAAGCTTGAGCAATGAGACCTGGCTGTGACACTTAAGAAAAAGAAATGTTATAATGATGGGGAGAGAAAACACAGCCATGTTATTATCTACAAGTCAAAGTGGATGTGGCGATAGCTAATGAATATCTTACAGAAGCAATTTGTTAATAAGAAAACAAGTATGGCCAGGTGTGGTGGCTCATGTCTATAATCCCAGCACTTTGGGAGGCCGAGGCGGGTGGGTCACAAGGTCAGGAGTTCAAGACCAGACTGGTTAAGATGGTGAAACCCTTTCTCTACTAAAAATTAAAAAAAAAAAAAAAAACCAAAAAACAAAACAAAAAAACAAATTAGTCTGTTGTGGTGGTGGGCACCTGTAATCTCAGCTACTCAGAGGTAGAGAATTGCATGAACCTGGGAAGCGGAGGTTGCAGTGAACTGAGATCGTGTCACTGCACTCTATCCTGGGCAACTGAGACTGTCTTAAAAAAAAAAAAAAAAAGAAATTAGTTCTTAGTTTGTTTATTAGTTTATTTAGTTTGTTCATAGTTTCATTAAAAAATTAAAAAAGGACATTTCTTACAATGACATACATGTAGCCAACAAGCATATGAAAAAATGTTCAACATCGCTTATCATTAGAGAAATGCAAATCAAAACCACAATGTGGGATCATCTCACCCCAGTCAGATGGAAATTATAAAAATTAAAAAAAAACATGTTGGCAAATTTGTGGAGAAATGGGAATGATTATACACTGTTGGTGGGAGTGTAAATTAGCCACTGTGGAAAGCAGTTTGAAGATTTCTCAAAGAAGTTAAAACAGAACTACCATATGACCTGGCAATCTCATGACTATCAGTAAGACATACACTTGTATGTTCATTGCAGAACTATTACCACTTTTAGGAGCCTAGATGATACACTTTTATTTCTAATCAGTGTGCATAGTCAGCAGCAAAACCTAAATTCCTAATTTCTCCT